AGTTATTGGGTGCGGATTGAGTTAAAAAGTTGGGTTTTGTTGTTTGAAAGAAAAGAGATAATTGATTTAAATTAGTGGTTGCATGTAGTTGTTCTTGTGTTTCAGAAGTTATTTATAACGTGGTTAAGTTGCTAAGTTGCTTGATGAAGATGAGTTGAGTAGTTGTTGACTTACGTTGTTTATATGTTGTGTATTTGGTTAAACTAAGTGGTTTTTATGTTGTTTATTGTTGAATTATTAATAAGTTGAGATGTATAAGTTGAAGTAGTTCATTGTTGTAAAGTTGATATTGTGTTGACTGTAGTTGTTTAATTAAGTAGTATAAAATTGTCTATCATTGTAAGATGCCTAATGTTGTAAAGTTGAAAGTTGTTTATCGTTGTAAGATGCCTAATGTTGTAATGTTGTAAATTGTCTATCGTTGTAAGATGCCTAATGTTGTAATGTTGTAAATTGCCTATTATTGTAAGATTCTAAAACTTCAACTTTAAACATGCCGAAGCATCATTTCAATTATCACAAATAAACATGCTCACACCCTGCGCAGCTTGAGTGCGCCCGACCTAATCTCAGTCAGAGAGTTTCAAAACTCTCATCCAAACCAACAAATTTAGCCACATGCAAACACAAAGCACAATGCATAGGCTCTATACAACTCAAAAATAAACTTAAATCTCACATGGACCCATCCGATGCATCAAAATTACCAAAAACCCCATTTTTCCCAAAACCCCGAAAAATGAGCGAATTCTTCGATCCAACCATAGATCCTCGACTTTCATGCATCAATTGCGTTTCTAAACTCACATGCAACCTAAACAACAAACATTCTAGCTTCCCTTACCTGAAAATTGGCTCAAAATGGCCAAGAACTGAGGAGAAGTAGAATTCCCTTCTGAAGCTCAACCCAGACTTCAATCCACCCAAAGCAAGCTTTCTAGTATGAATTTCAAGAAAAGACAGAAGGCATTAGTAATCTAGAGGAGAAGAAGAATCATACAGAGAAATTTGGGAGAGAAAGGAGCTCACAAACCCAGAGTCTTTCTCTCTAAAACTTCTCTCTAAAACTGTTCTTTTATTATTTTGTTAAAATATTTAATATTTGAGTATTATTATTTATTACAGAATTTATAAACAGAATCACTTAGTATAATTTATTTCTTTCTTTTACACCGTGTTTTTAATTTAAGTATTTCATTATTTTGAATTGTGATAAATTAACTTTAAACTATTGAACATAATTGAAATATGAGGGGTTATAATTATGAGTTAATCATCTATACATTGCTAATGTAAAGTTTTTTTATATTCACAACCAATTATATCTTTTATTTGTGTCATGTCACTGTAAATACATTTACTTTTAACAGTGACATGACACAATTAAAAGATATAATTGGTTGTCAGTGTAAAAAATCTTTACACTGGCAATGTATAGGTGATTAACTCTATAATCATACCTGTAACGCAGTTGGTAGACTGGAACGGGGCATTCCAAAAATTGGAACGGGCCGTTCCAAAAGACTAAAACAAGGGTGATTTAGTAGCTCAGAACGGGTCATTCCCAAATTAGAACGGGTCGTTCCATACTACTAAATAGTCCTGTAAATCCTAGTTGAGAATAGGTTGTTCCAAATATAGTTGTTGTGAGTTAAATTCAACTCTAGAACGAACTGTTCTGGTTTAAGAATGGCTCGTTCTAGACGTGCCAGAATAGGCCGTTCTGGTTTCAGAACGGGTCGTTCTGCATGTGAATTTTACATATGACGAAGGAGCCTAGAACGAGTCATTCTGGATTCGAAACGGGCCGTTTTGGTCACTCCTGACCTCTATAAATAGGCGTTGAGGAGGGGGAGAAAAGGGAAACTTAGAGAGAAGTTTTAGAGAGAAAGACTCTGGGTCCGGAAGCTTGCTTTTGGAAGATGGAGGTTCCCGGGTTGAGCTTCAGAAGGAAATTTCACTTCTTCTCAACTCTTGGCAATGCTGAGTCAATCTTTAGGTTAGGGAAGTTTCATGCACTATTTTCCTTGAAAATGGTTGAGTTATTGGGTGCGGATTGAGTTAAAAAGTTGGGTTTTGTTGTTTGAAAGAAAAGAGTTCAACACATCGCACTTTATTCAAATTGGCCGCTTGTAATCGGTATAGCTCGGCCTGACCCCTATACCGTGGTCGCTTCATACACGTGTGCCTCGACCTTACCCACACACGGGACCGACCAAGTCCTAGAGGAGAACAAAACATCATCCACTCCAAGGAATAACTTTCCAATGAGGGTTTTTAAACAAATTGGGCTCTCAGAGCACCACAACTATCTCAATCCGCACAATGGGATGAGCAACTTCGGAAACTTCTCCTCTAGTCCTAGTGATCAACACCTCATCACAACACAATCACATAGTATTTATCACAATAGCTCAACTATCAACTCATTCATACAACATTATATACAACTTGAATACAACAACCCATGCAACATCAAGTAATGCGTCGTCACACATATACAACTAGGAGATCTCCAACAACTAAGGTTGAGCAGTCTAGGTGGCATAAACCTTACCAAATCCAGCATTTGACCTATCTCAACCAGGTTAGGTATAAGACATCGTTAGGAACTCCGAAGAGAATCAGGTATAGACAACAATAGGTAATTGCTCAGGTGTACCCTGTGAGGGCTGCGGCCAAAGCGGACAATATCTACATGCGAGTTCTTGGGCTGTTACAAATGGCCTGTTCTAGGCTACTAAATCACTCATACTGGACTTTTGGGTCTTCTGAAATAACTTATTACATTACAATAAAACGAACAAAATAATTTTTGCTTACTAATTTAAAGAATAATTAAAAACATTACAAAAATTTAAATTGTTTAACTACACGCCCTGAGAGCTTCTATAATTTCTAATTTAGTATGATGGCTAAGGTAAAGAAGTTAATGGTGTACTATGTTAATATTTTTTATCAGTTGTACTATGTTAATCTTATCTTAGGTAAGAAAAGTCATATTTATGTCCCTTCGAGCCAAAAAAAAGTAAGGTCGCGATCTTAGTTCAAGGTTGTCCATTCCATGAACATTTCACAAAAAAAAAAAAAAAAAACTATGTAAATCTTATCAAAATAAATATGGAATGTACAAAATATATTGTGATTCGTAAATTTACATTTTTAGATCAACTTATACTTGTTTGACTACTCAGATTTAAATCTTACGTTCTTCTATACATCAAATTGATGTAAACTTGTAAAGGATATATATTAATATTTCCATAACATCACATAACTACATAAGGGAAAATCAAATTATGTTTTTGTGTAAAATCTTGCTAAATGATCAGGTGTATTATTCTTAAAGATACATTAAAATTTGTCGTGTAAGTTGTTCAATTGCGTAAATTTTCCAGTTCCGTTATGGGACATGATTCTTCGTTGTCAATAACTTGCGTAAAAAACTTGACACAATCATTTTTATTTTTGGTAGGCAATGAATTAATTTATAACATTGGAGCCTCTAACAAATGTTCCCCTTATGTTACACATACTTTACTTAAATATATATCTCGTTGAAATTCATGCATGCTTATATTTCAAAACGGCACGTTTGGTTTTTGCTGAATTAGTTCATCATTCTAAATACCAACTAATTGATTCAATGATTCGCAAGTCGCAACACAATGTTATATTAGTAATTATTGGTACATTATCCGCAACTTACCAATAAATCACATAATTATCGATTTGATCATTGGTCTATTCATCATAATGCCAGTATTTTGTTAGTTTTATTGCAAACTTTATAATAAGGCACGAATATTTCGCCTACCTATATTTAGAAGAATTTGAATTTTGATCATAACATTCTCTATTCTCTGAAACCCTATCTGCTTAATTATTATTATTTTTCGATTGAATTCTCGTTTATACGTGACAAACATTGCTTCTTTATCCAAACAATATATAGGAAAATTTCACAAAAAATACATAAAAGGAAACAAAATTGTTAGTTGAATTCCCGAAACAGGTCAATTAACCAATACATTGTCAATTAATAATTAACATTGAGTACTTCCCGGATAAGCTTGTTAAATGATCTCAACAATATCCTCTTCAATAAAATATTATGTTTAATTACCTTCAACTTACTTTATTTTGAGTAAAGTTTGTATTTTAATAAATTAACCAGCATACTTCCCTTCAAAAAAAAATTAATTAATTAATTAATTAACCAGCATACAATCTTTATTTCACCAAGAATAGAAAAAATTCCGTATGATAATATATAAATAAATAAACTACCAAAAACATTACTTAAGGTTTAAGGCGAAGGTTAGAGCGTAACATTCATGAGAATCACGCGCTAAAACCCTTAGTTATTATCACGCGCAAACCAAACAGAAGAAAAAGCTTTGAGAATTACGTCACGCTCTGCAAATTGCGAGTGGCAATAACATCGCTCTATGACACCTTGCGGTAACAGTGTCCAAATAAATACAGCATTTATGTTTAAGAAAACAATAACGAAAAATAAGTTTTTGTTTCGTAACATTATAACATAACAGCGTGCAAGAGAGGTTAGGGAGTATTATTGTGGACACAGGAGAGAGAAACTTGGATCCTCACTCTTAACATTTTGTCCTCAATTTTTTTTCTCCTAAACCCAATTATTTAAAAATACTAATTAAAAATATTAGGTTCTTTTAAAATGAATTAATTTAAAATATCTCTTAAATTAATTATATTTTATAAAAATATTTTGAGTTAATATCATTTCTCTTAATATAATAATAATTGGTGGAATAGGTGTCTCATTAAAATTTAAAATAATTGTAAAAAAAAAATATAAATTTAGAATGAATTTTAACAATACTAATTGAATTAATATTTTTTTTAATTCATCAAATTAGATAAATGAGTCTTAGACAGGAGGAATACAATTTCTTTGTTCTATAAAATAAAAAAGAAAGAAATGTTTGGTTATTTGGTATTGCATCGTATAAATCTATGTAAACTGAAGTTGCGTCCTTCAAATCTTGCAACTCCCGTTGGTGCTCATTTCGTCTTTTTCTCTCACTAAAATTCTAGGGAGAGAGGGGTAGGAGATCAGAGTGTTGAACAGTTGGTTTGATGAATGAATCATTCATGATTGATCTCTCCTTTTGACTTTCCAATTCATGTTCCCATTTTTCTTCCTTTGCTAATTTCTCTTTCTGAAATTTTGCTCCCTCCTCTAAATTTGATACTATTCTTCAGTTTTTCACACGGGGGTTCACATTGCAACAACAAAATTCGACGGTTAAGTTTTTTATTGTTCTCTGTTTGGTCGTAATTGTGTGAAACAACATGGTCGTGAGCACCAAAAGCACATGATCAACAAGGTGGGGTTTGCAAGGAGTTATGTTCATTGGATTGGTGGCACAACATTTTTCCAGAATTGGCATCATCTTTGGAGGGTATAAGTTATGACAATCAATGAAACAATTGTGAATTTCTTATCTTTTAAGGCTCATCATACTTGAGCTCCAAACTCATCTAATTAAAGGCTCGAAGGTTCTTCCTTTTTATGTTTAGCTTTTTGATCAATTCAGATTTGTTTTCTAGTGATCATGGGTTGTGCAAGTTCAAAGCAAAAGCGATGTCGGCGTTGCAGTGCTCCTTATTCTCCTGCTCCGAGAAGCTACTCAATGCACGTTCATCACCCTCCTCAAGCAGAAGGTGATAGCTACCATGTGGTGGCACTCACCTCCACAACACTTGGCACTCTCAAACTCAATTCCCCTGCTTCAACTCAAAACCTTGGTGTGAATTGTGACCATGATTTCAAGCACTCCAATGGCAAGGTTGGTAACGCTGAAAGCTTCAGGTTTGATAGTGAGAGTTTTGTTGTCCAAAGGCCAAAGGAGAAGGAGAGGAAGAGTGAAGCATTGGAGAAAGAGAAAAAAGAAGAGTTCTCAATGGGGCTGATTGAGGCCAAGACTTGGTCCAACATGATTGAGCAAAAGTTGCCAAAAGTTTTCCCCAAGACCCCAATCAGAACACCACCTGGTGAGCCTGAGACAATCATCAACACATGGGAACTCATGGAAGGCCTCGAAGACACCACACCTTTTCGATCACCGTGCCACTTCCGAAGCTTCTCTTTTGATGCCAATGGTGATGATGTTGGTTGTGAAGTTGATGTTGATGTTGATCCACCCAAGATGAGTGTTGTTGCTCCTCCAAAACCCATGTGGCTTCTCATGACTGAGGAGGAATCAAGACTCAACCCTGCAGTCTCAGATTTTGATCCTGAGGTGATTTCCTCATTCAGGAAGTCCTTGCAACAGCTCTCTCCAAGTGATGAAGAGAAGCAACGGACTAGAAAGGAGTTTCCGTTTGAGGAAAAGAAAACAAAAGGTGATGATGATGAAGAAGATAATGTTGATGTTGCGGATGATGTTCATGTCGATGATTCATGTGGGAAGGAGAAGGTGGTGTTGTATTTCACTAGCTTGCGTGGAGTGCGAAAGACTTATGAGGATTGCTGCCAAGTGAGGATGATTCTGAAAGGGGTGGGAGTGAGGGTGGATGAGAGAGATGTGTCCATGCATTCAGGGTTTAAAGAGGAGCTTAGAGAGCTTTTGGGTGATTGGTATGGTGGGGGAGGATTGCCAAGAGTGTTTGTTGGGGGGAATTACATTGGTGGAGCTGAGGAAATTCAGAAGCTGCATGAGGATGGGAAGCTTGAAAAACTTTTAGGTTGTTGTGAGAAGATTGAGGATAGTGTTGGAGGTGATGGAGGGGGAGTTTGTGAGGCTTGTGGGGATATAAGGTTTGTCCCTTGTGAAACATGTTGTGGAAGTTGTAAAATTTACTATGAAGGTGATGAAGATGAAGAAGAAGAATTTGTTGATGGTGAGGTGGGAGAGTTTGGTTTCCAACGTTGCCCTGATTGCAATGAAAATGGACTAATTCGTTGCCCCATATGTTGCTTTTAGTTCCCAATTCACTTAACAGAGGTACTGAAAAACCAATTTTTTTGAGTTTTGTTCTTCATGGGATTTTGTATTTTGTGAGATTTTGTTGTACAGTCAAGTTTTTTTTTTAAGTGCTTGATACTAGTGAAGAGTGAATAACGTGTTCTAATCACTCCCCCTGCATAATCAATGCAGCTTGCTACATAGTGTATACCTTTTCATTTTGATTTTGTACACAATTGCCTTTCTTGTAAAATCAAGAAGAAATGCAAAAGAGAATTATCATGTTAGCTGGTATCATTTGTATTATTTCTCTTCATAACGTGTCCTCCTTTTTAGTATTCAAAATTGTGATGTTAGAAAGTTGTTGCATTGGGGGCTTGAAGCTTTCTAGGCCTAGAGTTGAACCTGTGCTGAGCTAATTACAGAATGCACTTAGAGGCTAGGGTTTATGAGCTCAATGCAACTACCATGCTTATCATCTTTATGTTATCAAATGTTGACCACTACACGAGTTAAGACCATTGGTGGTTAGCACGGCTTTTCTAGCCCCTGATTTTCTATTGGATTACAATTGCTTGGTTATTGCTAAATGAAACCGTGACCAAGTTTAATTTATTCATTCTCTACATTACCGGCTTCTTTTTATATTTGTTTTGAATTGATTGTTTTGTAAAGCATGGTTGCACATTTTCTTTGTTATATATAAAACCTCAGGTTAAGTTGTGGGGCATAAAATAGCGAATTAGGTGGACATAGTCTAGGTCAACTTCGGCGAGAGACTTGTGATTGAGTCAAATCATGTCTTTATAGATGGAAAAGGCACTATATCTACATGTGAATGTATCTCCACTACCCTCTCAAAATAATAGTATATAAATTATTTCAAAAAGGGTGCTTTTACGATTTCAACCTAGTAGACATTTTCTTCTAAAACCAATTGAACAGTTCAAAAGCACACAAAGTTTCTTTCAAGTTAAAGGAAGTTTTAAAAAGCAGCAGATACAGTTTTTTGTTATTCTCATTTACGTTTAAATTAGAGCCTTGGTTTTTGGCTTTCGAGAATATTGTCTTAGAAGAGACTAATCTCTCAAATTACCATCCAACACAAATTGATGGTGTTTTTTGTATACACGCATGAATTTTAACATCCCTTTAAAATGAAGGAATTTTAGTCCATTAATTGCTTTGAATTCTGATCTCTAAGCAAGAAAATGACACTTCATGGTCCAAATGGTCCAAAACTTAAAGACAAGAAGAATCACCAATTTTGACTTTCGATTTCACCATAACACATTTCCAAATGAACCGCTAGAAAATTGAAAAGGGTTTTTTAGACTTTTATTTGGTTGATCATTACAGGGCGGTGGCACATTTGAGACACACCCAATTATGCAAAATAATTGCCAAATTCCAGAGTTTAGATTAGAAATCCATGTCATGCCATTTACAAAAAAATGCACCACTAAGGAACGCCTGAATCATACAAATGATTTGTGCCAAAGAAGCAAAACTTTTTCTTCCCTTACCTACTTGTGTCCTTTTTTAATCATCTTCATGTGTTAATGCAATCAATGAGCCTAGATGCAAGAAAATCTCAATAAGCTACATGTCCCTTGCCGTCCAATCAAGATCACAACACATTTAGGTGGTTAGCGGTAGATGACAATCACAGTGCTGAAATAGTTGTAAATGCCAATGGCTTATTTATGTGGAGGCAATGTTAGATGTAGAATACACAAATGACACATTATTTTTCTCATGATTTCATAAAAATCACCTAACATTGTCAGTGACCCCAATAGATATAAACAGTTTTGATTAGAAGGGTGTAGAACTAGACTGGCGTGAAAAATAATTACTTGGTATTTAGTAACTTTACGTTCACAAATAGTGTTTTTGTTTTTGTTTTAATTGTATTCATGGCATGTTAGTCCATTGAAAAACTCGTTATACCTTTTAGTGGGAGTAAAGTTATAGTTTAGAACTGAAGTATTATCTAATAACTTGCAGAATATGTGCGAAAAAGTTTATACTGATATCATTGCTAAAGAAAATAGTCCATGTATGAAAAAGAAACCAACCACTACCCGGTTTTATGCGAAATAAAGAATTGCAACTGGCATATTGTCCTAGGAATACAAAAGGAGACACACTATGGCACTATCCATTCAACAAACCAAGCCCACAAACCCAATCCCCCACGGATACATGTAAACGTGTACTTTCACAAAAAATAAAAATAAAAAAAGGATAAATGTGGCTATATTTTCCTATTGGCACGGATCAGGGTCAATGAGAAAAGGTACATTTAAATAATTGAGATGAGTGCATGTAACTTATTATCATTATTATTGGACCAAAATAAGGTGGCTACGGCAAAACAGTGGTTGGGTCGTAAAGAGAATGATAAATTGTTCGCAATGGCTGGGATGCCTATAAAAGCATAAAAATGGTGTTGGCAGGGAATCGGTTGCAGCATATAAATATTAGAAAGTAGTTCACATGTTATTATGTAAATTGTTAGTTGCTGATGTTTTGAAAGTAACAACCGTGTTGTAGACAGTGTGAAAAGAGTGTTGATGCAACAAATCTACTGACACATGAAATTAATTATATTTTATAGAGGATGCCAAGGAATGTCTATTTTGCATTAGGTTAAGTGATTGCCCTTTGAGCAATCCAGTATCTTGTTGGAAGTGCCTTCTTTCATACTTAGCTTAACATGCCAAAAATCAGACATTAAATGCAAACTTAGTTCAACTTATTTCAGAAAAATAATCCTTTTCTTTTCTAATTAACTTCTTAAGAGCTTTGGTAGAACAGAAGCACCCTATACTACCGAATAGAACACTGACATTTTGGACTGTTAACAAACATTCACCTAGAAGATTACTATAAAAATTTAAACCACAAGTAATTTTATCTAATTGCAGATACTCTACTAGTTCATCTAGCCGGGGAATAGTCTTGAAAAGAGTTACTCACAAGCTACATAAAAGAGTTTTTCTGAAATGACTATTTTACCCAAAATTAATCCATCACAAACATGCACTTAATATAACTTTAGGCACATTGAATATTAAAGTAGACAAGAAACTTGGTACTTAGTTACTTACAACTTAAAATTGTAACATGTGCTATATTTTATAAAAGGATACACAAATTAGTGGCTGCTAACCATGGATTCTCCAAAACTACTGATATGAACACATTTGCACCAGATGAGTAGCCACACATGTAAAGCAAGTTCATGACTTATAATACAGTATATATCAACAAACAAATGCTTCTGTTTGTTTGTGTTCAATAACTAAACTTATAAGACAGCAGTTTATGTTTAGATTTTCATTTCTGTTCATGCTGACCCAAATCAGCAGCCGCTTTTGCTGCACGTGTCAACATATCCGACACCCAAAGAGCTCCTTTGGCAAAGTAGCTACTGTTGACTACAGCACTTCCGGCTGCAATGGCAGCTTTCCCGGTAACCGTTGCCACAACTATAGCTGTTGTCCCTGTCACTGTTGCAGCTGATTTGGTGAAATCTGTCACATGATACTTCTCATCCACAGACTTAAAAGTTTCGATGCCTGAATTAATGGTATCAGTCAAGCCAATTTTGTTGCTGAGTTCAGCAACCTTGGATGCTGCTGTAGATGATACACTATGAGATTCATCAAAAGCTTTTGCCATGACAAATGCATCTTTGCTCAACACATATCCCTTAGCCACCATTGTTTTGACAACCTCCTGAGCCAGAGTTAGTGCTTCTCCAGGGGAAGAAACAAACTTATCCATGTGAACATCCTGTAAATGATGACAACGTTAACATAATCTACGATTGACTAGAACAATAACTAAATAAGCCACTAGTTATATTAGACATGTAATTTGTAACATGTAGTTAGCCTATATAAAGGCTCTTATAATCATATTAGAGATGTACTTTGTAATTTGTAGTTGTGATTCAATCAAATACTAGCATTTTTGCTTCTATATCAGTTTTTCTCCTCTCTGAATCATGTTTCCTAACAAGTTACATTTTATAAAGAAGGATATTGTTGTACATATTTTAGGATGAGTTGGGTTTTAATACCAGATTACTTAACTACTTTTTTTTTAAAATGTTAAAGGTTATATAAAACTACTAATAGCAAGAAGTGATAAATCAAGATAGAAATCCACAAGCCAACTACAAAATGCATTGAACTTGCCTCATTAAACTTTTGTCACGTGTCCATGAACTAAAATAGATGACCATACCATTAACCTAGTTACCCCCGAGGAGAAGGAAATAAATGAAAATAACACAAATGTTGACATATATCTTAATTCAATCTTGTAAGAATAAACGTATTTTCAGTACATGGAAGGCAAGCCAGCAATTCCAAGATTGAGTTACTTGAGTAGTATTGAGACATTCTCATGGATTTGATTTGTGTTGCATTTATATCTTTGAGCTGTTTTTCATTGCTCTTTGTTTTAAATGGAGTATCACAGGTGTGAAAAGCCTCTAGGAGGCAACAAATACTGCTAACTTAAGAGAAAATCCAGTTTTCCAAAATATACCGTCTTAGTTGATTTAAGGAAAAAAAAATTATCACAAAAATATCACCTTGTTTTCACTTTATTTCCTGTTTTTCTTTGGAAACAGAGAATAAAAGTAACATTTTTGTAATTATTAGTGAAAGCAGAAAAATTTCCTTGAACCAAATAGACCTAAATTCCCCACACAGTTGAAACTGAACCATATTACAGAAGAAGAAAAAAAACAAAGACTATTCATTCCCCAAGTTTCAAATGACTGCTAAATTTTTTCATAATAAAGAGCTTTTCATGTATAACCCAAAGTATCAAAAGAATAACTTCAAATGTATAGCATGGTTAATGAATATTTTTGAATACGTATAAAAAAACTTCTTTTTTTATCACTTTGGTCTAACTAAAAGCACCAGAGCAGTCTAAGGAAGGATTTTAGGCATACTTGCGAGGTTGTAAAACTGTCTTCAGGCCTTGACGCATGACTGCTCCAATTATCAGAGTCATTTAAGTAAGCTTCATAGCGTGAAATGAATATACATTGGTCCAATATCATTGATCCCTGAAACAACATTTGACAAAAATATGCAGGTTAGTAAACAATATTCAAGTGACAACAATGCCACATCACTGAAAAGCTATTTTTTTGCAACACAAGATGAACTTGATTCAAGAAATACAAATAATACAACATTTAAGTAACAATTTTTCTATAATGCAATGGAATTGAAATTTCATATAAAATTATTTTTATCATCCTTTTTATAACTGTGTTAAGAAAAAAAAACAGGATAAAAATGGGTACTTATCATTGTGAAGATTCTGAATTTAAATACATCTAGAGACAAAATACAAAAAATTACCTCATCATGACCAGCAGTTAAAAATAAAACTTTCATAGAGATATCAGAACCATCTTGCACTTCAATAGGAAAGCAAAACACCATCGTCTATTACACAAAATGAAGCATAGACATTGACAAGGACACAGGGCATGAGGATACAATGTGTCATACAAGAACTGTGTCAGACAGATGGCCTAGACACAAACACAGCATGAAAATGGTGTGTCCATGCACATAGGTTACAAAATATTTATCTAATGCATATGAGAGAGGAATAAGGGAATTCATTTTGCTATGTTAACCCATGATATCCAACGACAAGAGAGCAAGGAAGTTAGGGAAAAAGCAATTTACATTTAGCAATAATGCAGTTTCCAGGGCATAAGCATCCCGATAAGTCACATATGCAGTAGCTGCAATTTCACCAGATCTGTATCATGACAAAAAAGCTATTATTCATATTGTTTCTTAGAAATCTTAATAAATTGTAACTACAAAATCGACTAACAATTCTATCATTTAGGACCTGCAACTTGCAGGTATACAATCTTTCTATATAACAATATACTGCAAAATAAAGAAACATGTTATTAACATCTTTAAAATATTTGATATAGAGCTTGTTTAGATACAAGTTATAAGTACTTTTGAAAGTTTCTCTACTAAAAAATATTCTTTATTTTTGGTAAAGAAACTCTCAAAAACACTTCTAAACTTGCATCCAAACAAGTTAATAAGCATGCTAATTGTTATTGATTGTTTAGAAAGAATACATGACAATGACATTTAAGAAGAGAAATTTACAAATTCCTAATTTACAGCAAGATTAAATAATGTGAAAGTTCTTGACAAATTAACCCAATTCACAGTCAAAACCAAAAAAAAAAATAATAATAACAATTTAATTCAATAACAGGATAAATACATTGCAAAAAGTTCAATCTGATTTATTTCCAGATGAAGAACAGAACTGTTTAACTAGAAGATACTACATAAAAGGAAGTTGAAATAAACTAGAAATCTGGAATCTATCAAATATGAAGTTAAGGACACAGAATAAACATCCCGAACAATACTTTGAATTTCCTTCAGTTATCTGAGGCAGAGGCAATGCAAGGATAGTAATCTACTAATATTGATCAAGACATCTCCAAGATAACGAGTTCCTTGATTATCTACATCTACTACTTTGTCTTGTCATTTGTCAGACAAATGTTACAATTAGACAGTAGAATCGTGGAACACAACCACCAAAAGGAGAAATGAAGATTCTGATTTTTTTGCCATGCCATTTAACTTTTGAACATTGTAACAGTATAATGGACATTAAACTCACAAGGTTCAGTTTTGATATACAGGAATTTTACCAGTAAGTAAAGTAACTTTACCTTATTATTTCAACATTTTCAATTACACCACAGTATGAAAAAAAATTGTGCACATCATTCTCTGTTGCTCTTGGGGATAAGTTTGTAACTTGAGCAGTGTAACCGTCACTATAATACATACTTGCCGAGTGACTCAATCTCAAATTGGAAAAAATAGAACCAGATTCAACAAACCTGTAGAAAGCAAAGCAAATAAAAAACTTGACAACGTATTAGAGGGAAAAAGATTGACCCTGTAAGGATTATTCATGTAACTTCAAAAACTGATAGTGGGAATAGGCTTGCCTTTCCCCTTCATTTCTCCATTAATAAGGCCACGCATTGTTGGCACAAACAATGAAGATAAGCAGTACTACTGTAAATCAAAGATAACATTATCTATCATTTTGGATCATTCACTTCATCTACAACTGATACCATTATCAAATTCCAAAATATTTAGTCGTCCCCAATAGATTTTGGCCTCAACTTTTGCACATAGAACGATGCCACAATCACATGACCATAGATATTTAGTCGTACATGGTTCGAATCCTGTTATTGTACATAGAATAGAATATATTGGAAGGGAAATAATTATTTTCGTTTCAGTAATAGTTATTTTGTAACATTATCATAGTAAAAAAAAAAAAAAATCACATCACATCAGATGACTATGCAATTTCAATTGTTATTTTATTATTTGAGCACACATATCAGCTTTTGACAATTGACATTTGACATGCAAGGAAACATCTTATTTTATCATAAATGAGAATGAAGAATGCCCCATCAACTGAAAACAGATTTTTTCCACAATCCAACACCAATGGAAACAAATCCAACTCAATCAAATTCTAAAATCTCAAACTCCAGCAAAATTGATAGCATCAATAGAAATTATTTAATAAAAACAATTGCTTTGATCCACAAGAGAGAGAGAACGTGAAAATCAAACAAAACAAGCAATAAAAGGACATCATCAACGTGGGAAAACAAAAGAGGTCGAAGAAAACTAGAAAAAGGGAAAACAAGAGAGGTCGAAGAAAACTAGAAAAAGGGAGTACCGGAAAGAG